CTCTTCCATTCCTTTGCAAAATGTGCAATTTCCACATTTTTTTTCCCTAGCACTTGAATTTTTGTCAACAATTGTGAACATCTGTGAATTTTTGAGAAGATTTGTTTGATAATATGATGATAGCATTGGCATTTTGAGCGTAATGAAGATGGGAACCAAGGACAGTCTCTTAGGGCTGAGATTCTTCAGCCAAACTCCTGGGTCACTGGGCTGTTTCACATTGTAAGAGGGATTAATTAAAGACTCTGCAATCTCTTGCATTCAGTGAGTGTCTTCCTGCTAACACTGCTGATTTGTCATTAACTTTTCTGTTCGTGGCTTGTCAATAGTAACCGAAGTATCCCAGTAAACAACTTCAACATAAATAGCTTGTTTCATTTTCTGGTTTGTGTTTAGTGTAACTGCCAAATTAATAAAAAATCAGACCTTTTAATTTTAACACTCACAGGTAGCTTGTAGCAATTTCTGTGGACAAGCTGAGACACCTCACCCTTAGTATTTAACTTCACCCTATGAACTAACGTAGTTAGAGTTGTATTAAGAAGCAGCGTGGAGTGTTTGGTAAGGCCTCAAGCTATCCTGTAGGCACCTGGGGCAAACGCTACAGTAAAGGTAGGCCTTTACTGTAAGCTGAATAAGAACAGGACTATTGGTCTACGTTGTCTGACTGAGAATTTAAGCAGTTCCGTATGGTTACAAGTACGCTGCTCTTGGGAAACACCTTTTAAAAACTGAATTCTAAAACATTAGCACTCAGTAGAAAGAGAAAAGCTCTAGGGCCCTACCAGGTAACTGTGATCTGTACGTTATGGAGTGGCCAGTCCTTCATTTTCTCTTAAAACAAAATAATATCTTTGAAGAAAAAAAGCTTGTGAGCAGCCTTGCTAGCAGGCTGAATCCCCTGCTGTGGGGAGCGTGGCTGCTGCTCCCGGCGTGTGCACGAGGGCCGCACGGATGTGGTTACTATTCACTTTGTGGAGGCCTGAAACACGTTTCAGAATTAAACCCTGCTCTTGGAGGACAAATGAAGTGAGAAAATATAATGTGTAAAACCTTGTCAATGGCAAAACTGTCACTGACTTCAGCAGACAGAATTTAACTCTCTGACTTTTATCTTCTCTCATTTATTTTTATGCCTGAGCGTGCTTGACAACATGGTAAACAAGATTAGAATGGAGCTCTCGGGTCTCGGCGGGCGCATCCTGCTCCAGCTGCTTGCATGAACCCTGCAAAAATGACTCTTACATATATAGGACTTTTCTAGAAATTCCACAATTGCTGCTCCCAACCAAAGCAAAGAAATGAGGGATTATTTATGCTATTTCCATTAAGATTTTTCTAGCAAGTCTAAATTCTCATTTTATACTTTGTCCAGAGAGTCAACTTCATAATAGAAAAACATCCTCATCACTGTATGCATGTGAAAATATGGATTTTGAAAGGTTCTTTTGTGCTTTGAAATACTTGAAATACCGGAGTCAAGGTTGGCTACATTTTTAGTGTACTTATGTGCATGTATTTCTGAAATTACTGGTCCAGAATGCCACTGGCCAAATCCATTTGTTGGCTTATATAAGCTTCAAAATTTCTTGTAGGACATAATGCCACATATTTTCTCTTTACTATTAGTTTATTTTTGCCTTTGCCTGTTTTACAGCAGAAGATTTGGCTCAGGCTTGCAAAGTAATTGCATACAGTTACATTAAGGATTACTTTTCTAACAGATATTCTACTTCTAGTTAGATTTTTCCAACTTTATCTTGGAAAAAGTTTGAATATGACCTCTTTTGGCTGGTTGAGATGATGTGACTGTGTTGATTAAGGGTCTATTTATTTGTAAGCAATTTAAAGAAAAATAGTCTTTGGATACTCTTTTTTTTGAACTCATAATTTAAATTTGAAGTCTATTGCATTAAACTTAGGAGACATTAAAGTATACAAATACTGCAAAGCTGAAAAAAAGCTTGCAAAGTGGGGGTCAGGCAGCTGGAATACATAAGCTGTTTGTTGTACAGATGACTAATAATCCCTTCTTAGCAGAGGTTCTTGTAAGCTTGATCTGGACTGTAACCAAGCAGTCTGTAAGTGCTCGTGGCTGGAAGTTAAAGTTAATTCTAGTTAGGAGGGATGGCCTACAGGGTTTACTCGGGAAGGAGTCTCTTTCAGTCATCCTGCATCTTTTACCATTTTCCTAGCTGCTTGCTGTGGCCACATAAGAGATGGGATACAGGGATAAATGGAGCTCCTAACCTAAGATATGATTCAAATTATGATTTTTTTAAAAGGTGATGGCTGCTGGTTGAATTAAAAAACAGTTAGGAATACAATGATTTTGTTCATGCAGCTTTACTTCCACATTGAAAATCTGAAACCAGGTCAGGTTCATGCTTCTCTTTTTTGCTTAAGTGGAGGTGGATATTTTTCACACATCTGCTTTTTTTCACTGCTAAGTTCTATATGGATCAAATCTCACTTAGCAGAGATGAATATTTCAAAATGTGTGTGAAATGCTGCCAGCTTCCTATTTATATTAAACAAAATTCAATGTCCCGTCATGGTCCGAGGAAGAGATTTTGGGGAGGACTGAAATCCCCATGCAATCTTCAGGGGAAACAGCAACGTATACAGTGGGGCCAGGCTTGGCGGCTGGAGGGGGAAACATCTTATGGTTTGAGGCTGGGCTTGGGATTGGGCTCAGGACCTACCTGATTCCTCTTAACTTTTGGGAATTTAATCAGCAGCCTAAAGTCATACACTATTGCCATCAAAGATTGGTAAAAAGAATAATATTCCAGACCATGAAAAGATACTAAGCCTTTGAAATATTCATTTTCAAGTTCTAGACTAGTCAGCAACAATAAAATAAAAGCATATAAACTTCTATTTGGTATGATATGGGGGAAAAGGTGTGTGACAGGATCATCAGCAAAGCATTTATTTCAATGCAGGGCAGATTCATGAGCCTGTGACAGATTTTTATATGAATAGTTTGTGCAGTGAGAATGGATTACGGAATGGATTACTGGGGTGCCACAGTGTGTGCAGACTTCAGTAGAATCTATTTCATTTTTTTCCTCAGCTTCTAAAGAAAATGCGTTATCTATAGGAAAGTATAATTTACTATAATAAAGAAGGAAACCAGAACAGAATTTTCCCCTTAAATGCATTTCCTGAAGCCTGAGGACTAAAAGATGCTTCAGATTTCAAAATTTATAAATTCTTTTTACTTCTTTAACTGCCTTTTTAGGCTTCGTTAAAGAGGTTTTCTTGTCTTTGGACTCACGAACACACTCATACCACTTGTATTTCTCCTGTCCTCCAGCTTGCTAACAGTCACATCTCAATGGTGAAGGTGAAAATGAAAATGATTTGTGTTTTCTCTTTCTTTTTTCCTACGTTCACATTTATGCAAGGGCTGAATGAATTTTCACAGTGTGTCTTCACATGCTGGTTTCTTGCTGATTAGTTGTTTCCAATAGCACCCAAAGGCCCTTGCTGAGGTACTGTGCTTGGCGCTGTGCACACATACACATATACGATTCTGCCCATCAAGGCAAAAGAGAAAAAAAGATGCTATCTGGGGAACTGAGGCAAAGAAAAGCAATGTGGCTATCCCAGCATCACACAGAATTATGTAACAAAGCTGAAATTTGATTTTAAAAGTTTGCTTTTTTCCTAAGGGTCACTGCAGACTGCCCTCTCTTGGTTTGCATTTGATTTTGGAAACTCTCATCTTCTACCAAGCACTGTCCTTTCCATCTTGTTCCCAGTTACAGACAGAATTTTAAACATATTTTGAAATCATGGGTAGTCACAAGCAAGTGAAACCCGAGGAAATGGGAGGACAGAGAGTATTTTAGTGAAATTGTTCAGTTGTTCATAGAGGTAAGAACTGATGGGAAAGTGCCTGGTCCTGTAGCATGCTCTGATGTCGTAGAGTGAAATAAGCAGTCCTGGTGAAAAACCCTTTTACCAGTGTTTTCCATCTTTACATGGCTGAATCATTCACACTCCTTCCTCTCTGTACTGGAGGAGTACCAGGACACAGTACTCCATTTACTGTGGAGAAGTGGTCTGACACTTATTGTATGGCTACAATAAATTTTCCCTGGTGGTCCTGATAGTGAAATTGAGTGGAAGTAAAGATGGATTAAAACAAAACTTGTTTTACATACTACTTTCTCAACAAAGGAATACAGGAACTTGGAAGAAGGGTATGAGCTCCCAGTTCTCATCTGTTTGCTCTGTTTGACCTGTCAGATGTCAGACCACAGCTGTTTTTTTTTCTACAAACTGTTAGCTTTGCTTTGATGTGAATCTACCCCAGGTGATGACGATGAGTCCAGGGGTGGGCTGGATATCGCACGTTCCTGCTGCCCCTGGACGGTTGTAGCCTGGCCGTGGAGGTCCATGGTCTTCCTCAGCAGCCTGAGCCTGGAAGGCTTTCTGGGTAAACCAGATCAGGAACCGTATGTGGTATTGGGAGCCTTTCAGGAAAAATGCAGCCATAAGGTGTCCCAGCAAGGTTTGAACGAGACCTGGCCAGAGGTGGCCCTGTATGCACAGAGCTGTGTTTAGATCTTCTGTAAAATGTTGCCTGGGTCTGAGGTTTTCCCTCGTTTTCTAGATGTTATCTCAATTAGAGGTAGGATTTGGGATCTGACCTCAGGTTGAGGGCTGTGCTGAAGATACGATGTTAATATGGCCTGGCAGCTGGGGAAGGAGGTGTGTGGTTTGGCGCTCCACAGAGGCAAAAGCCAAACTTGCCTTTTGGTCGCTGTGTCAGTGGGCTCGGCTTGATTATAACTGTCACTGCTGTTTTCTGGTGAGGAACTACAAAAAAAGACAGAAGTAAGTGGTAAATATCTATGAGAAAAGTCAATGAGAACATACTGCTAGACTGCAATGGGTACATATTTATTCTTAGAAGTCTGTTCATAGTATCCAGTATCCTGTAATGTTTTTCTTATGCTTGAAAATACATCTGAGTATAAAGACGTATGATTACCTACATTACTTTGCTTTTTTTCCCTTTCTCGCAGTGCATGCCTATTAAAGGCCTTGGATTTGTGCTTGGAGCCTACAAATGTATTTGCAAGGCTGGATTCTATCATCCCAACATCTTTTCAGTGAACAGCTTTCAGAGTAAGTGCTTTTGCTTGCATGAAAAAAAAAAAAAACAGAGAGAACATTAATAATGCAGGGTTCCTTTTTAAGCTAGCCAGGGTTACACAGTAAAATCCCAGTGGTTTGCAACTCTGAGATTATATAATCACTTAAGGAGTTCCAGGCCTTTGGTTTGTCATCTGTGATACTCATGAGGATCTTGTAAAACACACCCTCTTTAAGCATAATTGATTTGTAAATAAATTTTAAAATATGAAAAGAAGTCTTGCTATAGGGAAATACAGCACAAGTTGAGCACAAGTCACAAGGAAATAAGTGTACTCTTTTTCTCTTTTGTTAGGGCAAATTGCAATGCTCCAGCCTCAGGTTTTGTTTCTGTTTCCTTTGTTTTAATTTTACTCCGTTTGCAAAGGAGAATCCACGGGAGTGTCCAGGCTCTTATTGTTGTCTGCGATGCAAGAGGTGGGTCAGGTCTGCAGATCTGTTGTCTTGGCTGTACGATGCGGATGACCCAGACCCTGCACATTCCCAGAAAACAAGCTGTCAAATGTCATCCTGCCTGCCCACAGGAAGGGCATCAGCACTAAAATGATCCACAGCAGGGAAGCCGATATATAAACTGTTTCCTACATCTCTGTTACTTTCACCATATGCCCCAGGTGCAATCTCTGCTCAGATGTTGTGCCAGAATTGTTACAGTTACACTAGCACAACTCATACTGTGGTGACAGCTGTAAAGGAGCTGCCCGAAGGTGTAACAGGGTGTTGTGCTCTGGCTCGTGGCAGAGGTTGCTCTTTGCAGCATCTCGGCACCATCGTTAGCCCAGGGTTCATGTCCTCACTGCCCTGCTGATGGAGCAGTTCCTGTGGGATGCCCAGGGGAATGGCAATGAGAAGCTTTCATCTGGCTTGGTCCAGAACCGTGGGCATTATCTCCTGCCTTGAGGGAATATAGCTATTCCTGTTCCAGAAGAGAAACAGCTCTGGTAATACTGAGCACTCATCTGCACCTCGGTGATACTCCGTATCACAGACACGTCAGCTGATGCTGGGGTAGATAAAAGTGGTGCCCAGCTTATTGTGCAGACATGCCAGAGATTTTCAATACATTTTTCCTTGTTAGTGATTTAGACATAAAATACAATTATTTTTTATTTCCCTTCCCTGCAACTTCTAAAAAACCAAATACTTAGATATAAGGGAAAATTTGCCTAAATGCAAGCTGAAAAGGACACCATAAAGAGAAGACTGGACAGACTTAACAGCTGTATTTTGAACCTCTGCTGTAACACCTTCTACATTTGAGTTAGGTTTTTCCTTTTTTTCACAATTTCACACAAGTTACAAAGTTGGAAAAGAAACATATGAAAACTGGAGAAGAAACTCATCTTGCTTAAATGAATATGAAAATAGTTACTAAGGTGTTTTAGGCTGGTAAGTCTTCTGCATATATGACATGACAGTTGTGAAAACATAGCCCTTGTTACTGTGTACCTGATAACTGGGTTAAATATATTATTCAGTGTGAACTCCAGTGCTGCAAATAGAGTTTCCAGGATTCCTTACTTATTAGTTGCTCATAAGCTCTCTTTTTTACATAGAAAGTACCAGAAAGCATAGTGAAAGGTGCGTAGATATTTTCTTGTTAATAAAGCTTTAGAACCCTAACCTCCCCCCCTTTTTTTTTTCTCAATCATGTGTTCAGGGTATTAGTTTGCTTGATCCATGTTATGGGTTGGTCCTTCTGGGAGTAGATCAGCCAAACATGTCAGTCCTAACTCAACATCAGTCAAATCTCCTGTAATTATGTGTAATATCACAATGTCTTTGTTCAAAAGTTTATCTGGTGAATGTTTGTTTCCCTTGCTTTTTCATGCTGTAGAGAGTCGTTCAGTGTAGCCCAGTGGTAGTGTTTTTTTCCTCTGGGCTCTGTATGAATCTTTTAATAGAGCCAGGCTGATCCTTGCTTGCTATTGGAGTGCAGTGGGTTATGATAGAGTCAGAATTCAGCTCCTTGAGCGAGAATAAGAAAATCAGTCTTAGATTTTTATCGTATCGAGTCCACCAAACATACAAGAATAATGCAGCTAAAGATAGTAGCAACATTGATCATTAGGGATGGGATTCATTCTATGCCATGCTCGCTGTCCAAAATGTAGGTGCTTGGCATGTATTAGTCATCTAGGCTTCCTTTATGGTTCGTGGAGAGAGTACAGCTCTTCTGGAGGGCAGTCCTACCTCTGCAGGTATTTGTCCTAAGGTGGAAGAAGTGTCTCTCCAGGCAAGTATCCTTATTGCTTTGCTTATTATACATGGAGTAGCCTATATGGCTAATTTGTATTGGATATTAGACTCCTAAATGACTAACATGAGTCGAATTTGTCTCACAAAAGTATTTGCCTATGCTGATACTTAAAGGGATGTAATTAAATGTCATTCCTCCTCCCTCATTCCTGAGAGTTAGCTGTCATAAACATGAGTTTGGAAAAAGTCATTGAAAAGGAACTGCTTTAATTAATCTAGATGCAGCTGAGTGTGCCCAACTCTGCAGATCATTTCAAACACTGTGCAGAGAGACAGCGAGTGTGAGACTGGAAAGGACTGTGAAGCAATGGAAGAAATAATGGAAACTGTGGTTCATCTCAGCCCTGTCACCACTGTATTCTGAAAAGAAGAAAAGGTGGAAGACAACAAGGTTAAAATGGCTGCAGTAAGGGCTTCGCAATTCAGCGTGGCGCTAATAAAAAGAATTCTAGGCATGAATCCTGAGAGCAGTTTTGACAGAAGCTGTCTGACCTGAAGATCTCTGTGGAGATAGGTTGGTGAAGCTGAATGATAGGAGAGATGAAACTGGATAGAAGTGTTACAGATTTATAAAATATCCCTGGGGGAAGAAAATAGAGAGGATTTGGAGGTCTCAATATGTAAATGAGTAGATAGGTAGAAAGATAGAAAAAAGAATAAGCAATTTGTACTTCTGTGATTTAAAACCTGGGCTGAGTATGTTTTATCTTGAAATGAGATCATATATAAATTATCTAAATGATCTTGGGGCTGAGCACCACAGCAAAGTTAAACTACAGCTACACAGTGGACCTGAAATGACCGAGTTTTAGCGGAGGAAGGACTTTGCATTAGGTGCAGTTGAATGTTTTGCTCTGAATCAGAAAGGTGATTTCAATCATGTGAAAATGGCTGTGGAGGGATGCTGGGCTCCATTGAAGGTTTTAGAACTGTAAATAGAAGCATATGGGGCTGAAATTTAGGCTGTTCTGTTACTCATAAGGAAGTCAGATGGGAGAGGAGTTCCCCTCCAAAAGCTGACTTTATTCTTAAGAACCAGCAGTGCCAAAATGTGTAAAACCTTTTGCTGCCACATTGGTTAGTGAGGACCCTGAGCATTAGTGGGGCATGGAGTAGCTGCCATTTTCCAAGGTGTCTTTTGAGAATAGAAACTGATTTAGAAATATTTATTTCAGGTATGAAAGTTACATTAGCCTGTAAGTGTTTAAATACGGGAATAAGGACTTTCTTCTAATGGCTCGCTTTTAGGTAGCTGTCTTTCAGCATTATTAGTATAGGTAGAAGAGATAAATCAGTGAATATATGCATTTTTAGTATTTTGTGACACCCTCTACCAAAACCCTTGTTTTCTGCCCCACAGAATCAGCTCAAGGCTCAGCATGCTCCTCAGTGTTGGGTTTTGGCAGCAGAATGGGATGATTTTGTTTGGGATGGTGGTGATTCCCGCCCAAGCACTTAGCGGGCTGTAGTACCCTGCTTCCTTTGCAGGCAGCATCCCAGCTGGTTATGTGGCAGCTGCTGAAATGCCTGCAGTCCTGCATGGTGTAGACTGTCCCAAGCAGAAGAAGAGCTACCCTCATTAAGTTTTCTTAGGAAGTATGGTCAGAAAGAAGAAGGCTGGGATTTTAGGGAGAGAAAAAATAAGAAAAAAAAATACAGGCTAGGGGACATGGTCCCTTTTAAGCTTCTTGTTTTCTTTTTCTAGTACTCCAGCATTTCCCTAATACCCTTCATATCACTTGGTGTCCATATTCTTTCCTTCTGCTGATTCTATATCTTCCTTTCTCCTTGAATTTTATTATTTCTACTGCCTTTTCTGTCTTGTTCTGTTTACCTTCCTCCTACTGTCCTTAAGTCTAAGTCCTACAGCACAGGATCAGGACTGCAGTGTTTGATTCTAGCCCGTATATATCAGTGCTAAAACCATTTCGACATGGAGCAGGACTGGTCCCTCTACACAATACCAGACTTTAAATTGAATAAGAGATAAGAGATAATACCAGAATAAGAGAATGTGTGATAAAATGGATTATAATCTATTTTCAATGGCTTTCAAGGCTAAACACGGTAGAAAAAGTAAGAATTTTGAATTTATGAGCACTAAAATTATTAAGCCATAGTCATTTAGTACTTTTGACTTAAACTCTGAACTCTCATTTTTCAATTATATTTTTTCACTGTTTAAGTTGTTACTCTCAAAATACTTCAATTTATTTAGTTAACATAGTAAAAAAGCATTAAGGAATAGTTCAGAAGTGTCAAGTTTAAAGAGATAAAATGAGATATAATTAGGAGATGGACTAGTTGAAGGGCGATTCCTTCTTATGGAAATGCTAAAGGAACAGTTGGGCAGTTGAAAAGTAGGTTTCCATAAGTGTAAATGTAGATAGAATGAAATAGAAAACTGACTGTCAGTAGTGCACTCTCAATTTGGATGTGGAGATGGGAAGTACATGGCAGGACTTTGTGCTCTGTCAGAAGGACAGTGCTGTTCCTTTGCTCTATCTGTAGCTTAGAAAATAGAGAAATAAAGATAGACATAGAAGAGGGGTTTCAGTGCATCTCTTGGATGATAGTAAGCAAATAAAGATGGGATGTTGCAAAGTGGAAAGAAATGCCCTGCATTAGGCTGCAGGACTAAAAATGGTTGTTAGATGAGATTAAGGCTGGCCCTACCTCCTCCAATTGAAAAAAATAGTTGAAAAAACAGTAGACAGCTTCCTTAGAGTCTCTGCATCTTCTTGAGATGCCCAAGTGTTTTCCAGTGTTTCCATTCCTACCTCCTACAGCCTTGCTCTAGGTCAAAGGGACACAAAATCGCTTCTAGTCTCTGCTTTATCTAAGGAAATCTGCCTACTATCATTAGTCAGCAGTACTCTGCTATGTTCAAGTTTCCAATATCTCTGTTTGGAGTAAAACTCCAAAGACAATTCCACACTCCTGATGAAAAATACCTGCCTGTTTTCTGTACCCCACGAGAAGCGGGGAAGGAGCACCCTTACACCAAGGACCACTGAAGAAGCAGCCCTGTTTATTCCTTTCCCAGGAAAGGAATTTTTGTTTGTCGGACGTGTGCTTATGCACATTGATACATGCCTTCAAGAAAAGAAGACTTAATTACCCTTACAGATAAACTTCTGTTTCAAATATTTCAAGGTAAAAGCCCAAAAAGGCTTTTACAGGCCAACAGGCATGTGTAAGGTCACTGAAATGCACTGTCTCTTAAATTAAGACTGAGCAGTACTAGATTTATTACCTTAATTGCCAGTGGAAGATAATTTTGATCAAAGATATTGGATAAATTTTGCAATCATGTGAAAAAGATAAAATTAGCATGAATGCATTTTGATAAACTGGGAAGTTCCTAAACCTCTCTTCCTCATATTGCACATTTTCAGCAAGTCCATCTTGCCTTTTATTTAACATTATTCCTTTCTCCTGTCTTCCTTTCTCCTTTCATTAAATGCCAGTTGCATAACCAGTCCTGCAGGAGGCTATGAACAAGTATTTATGGGTGAGGAAAAACAAGAATTCACCCATTTGGTTCTGTTGAGGGGTTTGCTTTGATGATCAAGGGTATTTACATGGATTTACATGGACAAAATATTAACTTGCCAATACAATTTCTAGCATTCCTGGGCATGCTTGTGAGGACAGTGGATGATTTTATTTAATATAAATGCACTAGCTTCTTTGGGCACAGAATACGATAATCATACAGAAGTATTACCTAAGAAGGGTTCTGTCTAATTTGAAGCTGAACACTAGGAAACATCTTTTTGAGATTTAGGAACAATTTGAAATACGATGAGAGCTTGTACTATGAACACTAAGTAGTTAATGAGGTTGGCTCTCCATGTGCCTGTGTCAAATCCCTTCCTTCTTCCCAAATGATGTGATTTTTCACCCGTTCACAAGTCACCTTTAAAGAATTACCTGTGCAATTTTAGCCCCTTTCAATACAATGGGAAAAGAGGTGGCATTTAATAAGCCCCCTTTCCCTCATGGCTGCTTTGGTGTGCATTTTCCGAATGTAGCAAAAGGAGGTGAAATGGCAAAAGCAGCCCTGGATAACCCTCCTGTAACTTAATGAAAGAGAAGAGGGAAAGAAAGGGAGTAGCTGTTTTGCTTCTCTCTGATGAACTGCCCATGCTGTGCAATTAAAAGCTTCTCTCCTTGCTCCATTTGATATTTTCAGGAAAGGACGCAGATAACCGCTTTTCTGGGGGTGACCTGTCAGAGGAAGTCTACACGTGCCTGCCCTGCAGGGAAGGATGTTCGTACTGTACGGACGACACCCCCTGCTACGCACAGGAGGACAAGTACTTGCGGCTCGCTATCATCTCCTTCCAAACGCTCTGTATGCTGCTCGACTTCATAAGCATGCTGGTGGTCTACCATTTTCGCAAGGCAAAGGTAGGGAGATGTGTCTTTCTTTAATTTTTCTGCTCACTGTGGTGCAGAGTCATTTGTGCTGGGTGAAAAGCTTCTCATTTGGGAATCAACTTCTCCGTTTAAAGAACTCAACTCTTTTTCAGGGAGAATATTCCAAACGGCAATGCTTCACTTTGGGCATGGAGGTGATGCAATGTTTAAAATAATGCTGAGCAACTTGTGGCTCCCAATGAAACCTGCCTACATTTGTAGGCAGTTCGTGTAAACTAAGGAAATCTGTTGTGCCCTAAGTCATTTCAGAAAATCAGGCTGATCATGCAGGTACTCAAGGCACGGAATCACAGAGTGGTTGAGGTTGGAAAGGACCTCTAGAGATCATCTAGTCCAACCCCCTGCTCCAGCAGGGACACCCAGAGCACGTGGCACAGGGCGGCATCCAGGCGAGGTTTGAAGATCTCCAGAGAAGACTCCACAACCTCTCTGGGCAGCCTGTTCCAGGGCTCTGTCACAGTGTATGTATTTATAGTCTCTGGATCTTGAAAGTCTCCATCTGTTTTACCACTGTTGGGAAGGGTGTTTGGCTTCAATATATTTGAGAGAAAATATATATATTGCATATATATTCAATATATGCATGACAATTACATGAAAGAGAAATCTTTCCAACTAGCTATAGTTCACAGACAAATTTAACTTAATTCTGTTGTTTTTTTTTTTTCTTGAAAGTAGGAACATGTTAAGTAGTATCTGAAAATTACTGCTGCAATGTACAGTTATGTTTCATATACTCCTCTCACCTCATTCAAAATATTTCTTATGTGCATTATCTCACGCAATCATGCTATTGCCTTGATAAATGTAGAATAGTCTTGAAAATTTGGAATTTACAAAAAAAAAAAAAAAGGAATAGAATCTGGCACATCTTCACTACCTACATTTGGAGGATGTAGGTGTGCACACAGGGAACTATATTGTTGAGATTAATAGCTTCATCCAGTTTCCATGACTGGATAAACATTTACATATGGTTTTCTGAAACACCTGATCCTACAAACTTCCTAATCCTACAGTGTATTGGGAATGTGTGTGATTTTAATATCCTGGTAGAAAATGATGGACTGTAAATTTGTTTTTTTTTTCTCTTCTGTTTCTGATAGAGGCTATGTATTTAATGAAAATACAGAAATTGATTCAAATTGCAGACTTGATTGTATTTATAAGGTTTTTCATTATGGAATGTCTGTTGTAAGCATCTCTTTAGTTGCCTAATACTAACTAAGCAAAAGAAGTTCATTCCAATGCTGTGAGGTTTTAGTCTGTAATGTTACTGTCTTTTAATGGCTATGTTAGAATAGTGAAAAGAATTATTCCTCATGAGTGAAAAGCAGGCTGTAAGCCTGCAAAGTGAATGAAGCAAATGATTTCATATCTAGCTATTGCAAGTTTGTTTCATATCTACTACTGTAACAAACAAATGTATCTTTATTAAGCATATTCTAGAAATCTTGTATTTCATAAAAAATGATGGTAGTGAAAGGTACATTCATACTTGTGTGGTGATCAACCATTCCTCTAAAGTAAACTGTGAACAAAGAACCAGGAAGGAGTTGAATATTGAGTACCAAAACAAGTCGAGACAGCATCATGTCCTTCCTTGTTTCTAAAAATTCTCCAGTCTTTATAAAAAAAAAACCCATTTTTTTTTCCAAATTACCTTTAGAGATTCGTAGTGACATCTGAATAAATGAGAACTAGACATCAAACAAAACAAATACTCTTTTTTTTCCAGACAGAAAAGGGTTGTCTTTTAGACATGACATTTTGTTTCAATTGGACAGAGATGGATTTAATTATAAATTGACTATCTTAGAAAATATTTGACTTTGCTCTAAATATATATCTCACAAGGAAAAGATGAAGAGACAAAAAAAATAGTGCTAATAATCTTTTCCTGAATGATCAGTATTTTCAAGGAATAGAAAATGAAAATAAATATTCCATTGAATTCATGTCATTCAGGTGATTTTTTTCTTGATTTCTTTTTATGTTTTTTATCTTGTTGGTACAGCATGATTTTAAAAAGAAAAAGATCTTGTGTGATTAACATGAAATGAGAAGCTGTATGAAAGGCAAACATAACCAGAACAATGAGTATTTGCATGACAAAACTGCGGGTTGTGTTGGATAATGACAGAAAATTGGAGAGAATGAGCAAAATTGGTAACTGGCTGTGTTCTCCCTACCAAGAGGGAAAAGTCATGAAAACGAAAGAAAAGCTATTGGAATATTCAATATATCTGTACTCTGAGTTGTTCCTGTTAGTGGAAAAAACCTGAATTAGGTTAATGTATGGGTGAGGGATTAAAGTTACTATATGAGACTGCTCATATTCACTGTAATAAGTAGGCACTGGAGAAGGGTATTGCGTCCCACATATGGAACTACAATATTCAAATAGTTGAGCAAAAGTAACTTTTAATTTTGAATTCTACCAGGAAGAACTATGTACTGTTACCATATTAGGATGCAATCTGCAAAGTTTTGAAAAATGCAAAATAGAGTGCTCAGAATTAAGAAATGCTCTCTACAGGCCCCAGTG